AACACGTGTAATACTAAAATTATTTGGCTGCCTCTAGTTGGGTGTACGAGTACTGATTACGATGTATGAATGTTTTAACGATTACTTTCTGATATTGGGAATTAAGACAACTCTCATGATGTATGAAAGGCATAGAAGCGGAGCTTTTTTCGTATAATACCACCTGACTTATCGATACCTTTCCACAATGAGAAACAAATGAGTTGATGGAAAAAAAGAAATACCTGGTGAGCGAAATAGTAGTACATGAAGTATATATCTATAGGCGTGGGTGTAAATGATTTATGTTATTTCCACTGATTTTAACGCATAGTTCAATCCATAATTTCCCTCATCTCACATATCGGCTTGTTCAGTAGATAAATTCAATATGAAACCCAATGAAATGCATCCCAGGTTAGTAAATTGACTTAAGAACACCTGAATGGAACTAATAAACCTGGGATGCAATGCAGAATACCAAGTGGTTGGAGTACCGCGATAGTAAGTTTTATCTTCAAAACATGTATGAGACATCAACATGAAAACTGCAATAACATTAGGTTATTCATCATGGTTTAAAGATACTAAAGATTATTACAGGCTGTTTCATCGACTTTAATGCAACTTGTGACAAAATCCTACACGATTGACTCAATTTACTGATGTGTGAAATGAATTTATATTGTGTGGATAGATAGATTCCAAGTAAGGTGGAATAGACAATATCTAATTTCATGATGCTTAGAGGTGTTTGAATTGTTGTGATAGATGAGGATCCCCGAAACATTGCAACTACAAAATGTGCACTAATGATCGTATTATATTTAGAGTTCTTAATGACTTCAACTTTCCAACAGAAGCGACGGGCTTGATACTGCTAATGTCAACAACAAAGTCGCAGAAAGAATCAGTGAACAAATGTAATCGTTTTTGAATTTGAAATGAGTTACTGTGTAATTATCAAAAGCACCTAAATAATTAAAATCCCTGTTGCAAAGCATAGTATTAATTGTTGTGAGATGGATAACAGTTTTACAAACCTCGTTAGTGTCTCATCTTATCACATTTAATGCATTTACCATGACAAAAGACACGAATTACATAGGTGACATTTGCCGAACATGAGCACACATTCGTAACCTGCCTGATGTCCTGGGAGTCCATTTCATGCACTGCCTCATAAAACGCGCAGTCCCAGAATCCTAAAAGGAACACCTTGGGATTCGCTTAAGATCTCTTTCCTAATTTGGTATTTTAGTGGTGAACAAATCTCGAAAATGAATAGTTCTGTTAGACTTCGTCATTAGTACTGACCGCAGTGGTTTTACTAGACATCTAAATAAAGGCAATATCTCACACTCGCACGAGGTCATGTGTAGGTACGTCGTCCTTCACATCTCTTACGACTGTTAGCTAGCTTAAACTGAACGCTACATAATTTATCAATAGCCTTTCAAATATATTTTCGAGCTTTATTTTTTAACCTAATTTGACTCAGTCGGCACACCTCGGTTATATGCCTTTTACTCCTAAAATCTTTATCAGACTCTGAAACCTGTGGTATCTATAGTATGTTTATTCCTATAATCAATCAGTCGTACAGCTGCGCTGAAATCACACAAGGTGGCTTATTTCTGCAATTCAAGTATATATTCTCAAAACTTTTGGTCACTGTGATAAGTTATTTTATGAAATTTTGCTTTTTCACAGAATCCGAAAATGGTAAATTTTACATGATTTACTTGTAGTAGTAGTTCATTGAAAGTTGTGTAGGGAAGTACGATAGTGTAAGCATCCTTACCTAGGGAAGTATTCGGATTGATGTACTGATAATAATAATTCCTGAAATAGTGGGACTAGATTTGCACAAATGGACGTAGGCTGCTATTAAACTCAACTCGATTTTGTAAACGTGGCGGTCAGCTTAGCAAACAATCAGAATGAAGCGTAATTATCATATCTGCCATCTTTGTAAGAAATGACAATCAGCTTTGTCCGTTTTGTTTTTATACTCTGTTTCTTTTGTGTAGCTGCGAAATTTAACTTTTCAGTGCGCTGAAATTCCTCAATTAATGTAATTCAGTATTCGTGCAAATTTTCTTTGAATCAACATTGCTTTCTCGGTTTTTTGCTACTGCTACTCTAGTCAATTGTTCCCTCGGGCAAGATTGCTTGTCGTTTGTTATAAAATGTTAATCTATTTTGTTCTAAGTATTATTTTGTAGATATCGAAAACCGAAGTTATTTTTTTAGTTAAAATAAGTGTTACTGCCTCATGGGACAAAGTTATAGCGCTCAAGTCAATTATACGATAACTAAGAATACTAAACTAAACAGGTGTTATAATTATTGTTTCATTTGCACAGACATGTTACTCAAAGTAGTTAAATGTAGATAGTTAAGCCTACAAACTCAAAACACGAACTACAGGTCAATAAGATTTACTTCACAATGCACAAACTATATAGCTTTGAGACTGAAAACAACAATTTACGATAGTTCACAGCACAACAAACATTTATCCAGTAACATTATGTGTTGAAGGTCTACGTAAAAAGACAACCATGTGATTTATCTTACAATAAGTTAAAACATCATTCCAGCACGCAGTGTTTTGTGATTATAAGGCCTGCTTTTTATCACGTGATTTATACGCCAATCGAAATATGACTTATTCAAACTTGGTGCTGTGCTGAACCAATGACGTTCGACCGGTATGAGCAGTCTCGCGTCCTTAATCGTCCCTTGGTCGTTTAGCCCGTCCAATTCAGTTCACAACGCCGACAATATTTACTACTATGTGGATCATTTATTTGAAACATAACTGATTTACATACCAGGCAAACAGATCACATTAGAACATAAAATAAGAAATTGCATTTATACAAGATCAAGCCAAAAGTGGATGAGGACGTGGTAGTTTGTAGTTAAAAAATTGAGTATAGATTAAGAACAGTAAATCATATCATAGTAATGATAAAAGAAAGAGTAATATACACAATCTAGATACGGAAGACTTATGCAATAACAATAGATATATATAATATTATTCTGTTATTAGTTCTCAGAAATTACTCGTAATTTAATCTTCACTATTATATAACACGTTGCATGACTGGCGTTACTCGGTCAGAAGTGGCAAATAGAAAGCTACATCGAGAGGGAAATTCACAGCACAAGCTAGTTTTTTAATTAGAAAAGCATCACAATAATACAACTTGACCGTTATTCCACTTGACGATAAATTAGGCTTACGTGAAAACGTTAACTTTAAAACAACTCATGAACGTATGGCACGTTTTCGTAGCCTTGACGACAAAAACGTCTTTATGACGATATATGCTTAGTATTTGGAATTTGTAATAAGCGGGTAAACAAGTACAAAGAACCAGTAGTTCGTAAAATATCAGTTTTTGACTGATAAACTATGTTTATTAAGGTTCCGGAAGGTTTAACTTTGAAAACAGGGTTCTAAATTTCTTATAAGTATGAACTCACCAATCTCTCATTACTAATTGTGGTATAACTGCAGGAATCAAATCGTGGATATTAGTGAGAGCAATGTAAACTATCATTTGTAATGCAAGTCGACTATTTTCGTAGTGAATTTTACTAGAGTGTGACACCATTTCTAGATTATTCTCAAAGTATTAGGATTTCAATAATTTTCTTATTGCTCGAAATACTAAACAGTTGACCACTTTGATAAGCATTCAGTGTGGAATACGTAAAGTAGCGACACATGGGGAACAAAATCCTAGGAAGAAGTGATGTTAGGTATTTGTACATTTTGCTATCAGATAATATCAATCGACGAGACTGTAATTTATGGACGAACCGACCAGGTATAAGAAAACAGGTCTCGGATTTCGGCGCGAAATTCACCCATATGTTTGTCTAAATAGAGTTTTGGCATTATAGCTTGTGTCAATTTGTGATGAAGACTCTAAATGTAATTCACAGCTATACCCATTAACCTCGAATAATAATTCTAATTCTTCAGACTGCTTTGTAACTCTCATTTGGTCTTAGTTACAAGGTGAAGAATCTCAAGGTCATTGTAGCGTCACTCAAAGGTCGTCCATAAATAATAGTGTCACCTATCAATCTAATCAGAGAATCGTAAATTTGTCAGTATGTGTCCACCTAACTTATAAGATCTAACGTGGAAGTAGCACCAGATCACGAGTGGGAACGCCGTGCTCAACATCCCCTGCAATCGCTAGCCAGATTATATCAATCGATCCTCGATATATTGATAGTCATCAAACATATCTTCGAATCTCCTCGCTTCTGTGTTTTGATTTCACGGGGTGGGTACGATTCATATTGGAAGGTGTTACTGGTAAAAGCATTGTCAAACTTCAAATATCTGTGGCATCTTCAATCTAATATCTGATAACTTGGAATACGGAAATTCAATTGGAAAGTTCCGCCTACAGAAGTCGTTCCTGAAGTCGGACTTTTCTGCAAACCCAAGGTGTGGGTCCTTTGATGAGATGCGACTTTAAATTTTGGTGCCAAGTTACTACGAAGACTCTCAAAAACGGCGAAATAAAAAATTTCAGTGGAACAAGAGTTCTTAACTTTATCTGGAAAAACCCTGCCGTGCATTTAACCACATTTTCAAGAACTTCAACTTCAAATTGGATTAAAATGTTTGGTACAGTTGTATTCTCTTCGTTTGAACACTCCGCATATTATTCCGATAAGAAGCTAGGAAAATAAGCATTTTTGTCAAGATGCATATTTCTGCAAAACGCCTGTTGTTACTTCTCGGAATTTCAGAGTACCCTAAAATGGCAACGCTAATAACAATTAACAATAGGCAGCGCGAACAAAGGGGATCAACAAATGTATTTGTGCAAAACACTGTGTCAAAATTAGAATGAAAGTTGTAAATGTTCATCTATCGAGATTGAAAATAACCGTTCAAATATGGTTTGATTGACTATTTTTCCTTATGTATAAACATTCAATGAACAGTTTTAATTCTCTAATTCGAATCGCGCTTTCTTACTGAAGGTCAAGGTAAGAAGCAAGTGTCATATGCGCGCCTGTTTGAATTTTATAAATTTTAGTCATTCGTATAATTTCCGTTTCTGTTTGCACCGTCCTTGTGAAAAATAAAGCGTGTCTGATATTACTCAGTTTGAGCTATGATTATATTATATTCACGCTTCTATGTTGTTGCGTCGATACTAATTTATGGACCAGTCAATGAGAAGCCTTTGAGCAATTTCAAGGTCATGGGGCCAAGTTCAACACCTGATGCTCACATACGATCGGTTTACAGCGGATTTTAGAGAAGAGGTGATTATTGAGAAGCTACAACAGATCGGACTATTAAGAAGTTTTTGTACGTGCGACTGCGGTTATCAAATGACTGCAGCAAAGTGTGCAGACCGCCGTGATGAGATTGTATGTCGTTGTTCTTCATGTTTGAGGAAAAAGTCTACTCGAACGGGGACTTTCTTCGCTCGATCGCGACTGACACTAAGGCAGATCATGATAGTAGTCGCAAATCGGGTAATAAAGACACCAGTAACATTGGCTGCGGCGTTTGCAGATGTTACTGAGACTTCAGCAGTCCAGTGGTATGATTACTGGCGTGACATGTGCAAGTAAAATGACACATCTTCGCCAATCGTTCGGAGGAGTAGGATGCATTGTGGAGATAGATGAAACGGTAGTAAGAAAGCGAAAATACAATGGGGGACGTAGTATCAAGGAAGAGTGGGTAAGTAGCATTTCCGTAAATGTACTTGACAGAATATTTGGCTAGACTCGAATTTATGGACGAACCTTGAAGGAATCTTAAATGACGTTGACAACCAGAAGACAGTGTAAAGTAAAAACATATTATAAGAAACTAATGAATTACAGTGGTTATTCTTCATTTACGTGGTTTAAAAACTCGTTAAGGTTTGATAAAGACTCAGATGTTCTGAAATCATAATGCATGCTGTATAGGAACTTGTCCATATGGCTCCATAGTAGTCGTCCCCAGAGCCATGTAATGGTCTTAAAAATTCCTTCAGTCTGGAATACATAGCTTCAATATTACTAGTATGGAAGCCGGTTGTAGGGTCGACGAAATGGCGCTTGTGCACTGCGACATGATGCACATACCCAAGTCTATGTAAGCACCTATAAGCTCGCCAATCATTCGTATATACTGTTGTGCCCGGCTGCACGTATTCCTGTATAATTGGTATTATTGTGTTCGCTTGCCGGTTTCTGACCCTTTGAAAATGTCCCTTTTGCATTGATCGGTCATAAATTCCAAGTACCTGTCAAGTATATTTACGGAAATGCTACTTACCCACTCTTCCTTGATACTACGTCCCCCATTGTATTTTCGCTTTCTTACTACCGTTTCATCTATCTCCACAATGCATCCTACTCCTCCGAACGATTGGCGAAGATGTGTCATTTTACTTGCACATGTCACACCAGTAATCATACCACTGGACTGCTGAAGTCTCAGTAACATCTGCAAACGCCGCAGTCAATGTTACTGGTGTCTTTATTACCCGATTTGCGACTACTATCATGATCTGCCTTAGTGTCAGTCGCGATCGAGCGAAGAAAGTCCCCGTTCGAGTAGACTTTTTCCTCAAACATGAAGAACAACGACATACAATCTCACCACGGCGGTCTGCACACTTTGCTGCAGTCATTTGATAACCGCAGTCGCACGTACAAAAACTTCTTAATAGTCCCATCTGTTGTAGCTTCTCAATAATCACCTCTTCTCTAAAATCCGCTGTAAACCGATCGTATGTGAGCATCAGGTGTTGAACTTGGCCCCATGACCTTGAAATTGCTCAAAGGCTTCTCATTGACTCGTCCATAAATTAGAGTTTCGCAGAATATCCACCGTAATTCATTAGTTTCTTATAATATATTTTTACTTTATAGCAACTGTCTTCTGATTGGCTAATAATTGTCAAGGTTATTTAAGAATACTTCAAGGTTCGTCCATAAAAAAAGTCTCGCACTTTATTCATTTTAAGCATGTACAAATTATCAACGTATTCTTTGTCACAAATTGACATATGGTCAGACACTTCATATTCTCTCTTTGGAAACAATGTCAAGGCTGTTCGCATATTTCATTTCCAACCATCCCGTTTTTTATTGGACGGTTTGTATGATATATTTACAAATTTCTGAAACTTAGCTTTCGAGTTCCCAAGTGATATTTGGGCTTTAGAGAACTTCTTGCTGTATGACATTTGATATTTTGTCGGAGACGTTTACCTTCACACTAAAAATGCGTAACGAAGTCACCATATGTTGTCGTTCTTTGGAATTTTGTTTATGGTTTTTAATATTCTCGGTATACTTTCATCCTTTATTTTACGGCGTTTTTGTCGGCTGTATGGTTTACACAATGCAGTATTTACTATTATTTCATTTTGTTCGCTCTTGTTGATATTTGCATAACCTTTTGAACGCAACATATGCAAATGTGACTGCAACTAGTATATCTGATCCTGTCTAGGTTTGTCTTGTTGTTTATCTTTAGTCACCCCTTGTGCGTGCTAAGATTTTCCGTCTGTAGGTAAATGAGAATCATGGATTCGTGTTCATCAAGGGAAATGTGTGAATTCTGTTGTGTTACCTTACGTACTGCTGATTACATCTAAATGTCGATGTTTTCTGTTTAAACACATTCTAATCAGTTTCCATCAACAGTGAGTAATATACACACCATGCTGTAACTCTTCTGATTATATTTGGTAATTTACATAAATATCTAATTAGTATTAGTTTTATGTTTAAGTCATTAGGTTTAAACCCGTCCTTACAATAGTAGGTCGTTTGACCTGTGTTATTCCGTGAAAGCTGTTCTCCTGCGTAGATCCAGCTTCCACATGAAGGTGTTCTCTGATAGGGCTGGTACCTGGTTGTTGAGACAGGGGTATCCTGTTACTGACTATTGAATGAGATAAACGCAATCCGTTTCTGAATCTATTCGATGACGGTTTTTAAACCATATTGTGACGACTTCTGAGATGATTAGCCGTAGGAAGAGCAAAAACACTAGAATGTTAATATAAGCTCACTTCGCGTCTTACTGTCAGTATTGTTAGTGCGTCCAGGACTCCCAGAACCTTGGTTACAAATGTTTAGCTTCTAGCTTGTAAGAAATCTTGTGGAAGCCAATTCATTATGTAACATCAGTTAATGTAGTCAGTGATTGTTGGTTTGAGCTATGTGGTTAGGTGCAAAATATTTAGTTGGGGTCCGTGTGGTGAACATGTTCATACACTTATACGTACCTTTTTATCCCTTCCGGAACAATATTCTCAGTATTCAGTTATTCTCATCACTACTAAGCATTTCAGTTATCTTGTTTTCTATTATGTCATTTTCATCTCGCTATTCTGATGTGCGATGGGCATTTAAGCTAACTCACATTTGTACCAGTCTCTCTATATCACTAAACCTTTTCTCAAATGTTTACGGTTTTTAGAGAGATTTAAAATTCTCATATTTCAAGGAAATGTTCATTAGAACCGCTATTATGTGATTTTACTAAAACAGCTCTCTGTAATGGATGTGAAATGCTCTAGGTAATACGCTCGATGCTGATTTATTGTTCAATAGACATGAACAAATGCTAAATATTATAAATGGAGAAAACGTAAATATTGAAGAACTTAAAAGATTGTCTATTGACGGTTGTCCCGATTCCAATGGGATCCGTTCTAGAGTTTGGAAGGTAAGGTATCCCTCTACATTTTTCAGTTCCTTTTAAATTATCTTCCTTTTAATGTCGACAAACGACAAGAACGGATCATTTTTAACAGAAGGCAATATGAAGGTTATGTAAAGGAATTTGTGTTTGAGTCTTGTGTGGCAGATGCTATGCCTGCTGATCATGTAAGTATATTCATTTAGTATTATTGTTACTTCTCTAGCCACTAAATTTAGAACCAGATGGAAATTGGATCGCGTTTTTTCGCGATAATGAAATTTTACTCCAGATTAATAAAGACTGTCAGAGACTGTGTCCAGATTTTGATTTCTTTCGTCGTCCTACAGAATATTCTTGTCTATCATTATTTGGAAAGGAAGTACCTGTTGGGGTGTTACGGAGAAGAGGGGAAACCTCTGCACTTCAGGTAAATAGTCCTAAAAATTCTCATTGATTTTTTTGAGCAAATGTTTTACTTACAAATCTCATGCTCTGGGTTACCAACGTCGCATTGTATTTCGCTGATTCTCGTTAGACATCTCAGAAACTGAGTATTATTTCGTGTAGGAATGCTAAGACGTGATTTATTTCAAGGGTTTCCCTGGAATCATTTCAGTATAAGACAAAGTATAATTGCAACAATACACATTTTAAGCACCAGCAATTTTGTAGTTGTCATAATTTTTTATTTTTTTAATATTATAGCTGACTGACTAAATATTTTAATACAAAGACGCCAAGACAAGTTTTACAAATGTTTAATCTATCTAGCTTTTGAATGTCGGAAAGTGAAATTGTCTTCTTAAAATGTAGTTACACAGATTGGCTAGTTGTTGGACAGCTAAACGGGAGCTATTGAGGTGAAACTAACATTGAGAAGATTCATTGGCAAGTATATATCACATTGTCAGTATAGAGTTGTGGAGATTATTAAGTTTCATTGAGATCATGAACCGATCAACGTTAGACTTGTGCCAGTAGGCTAATTTTTTTCTTAGCTTGTTTGATTGAATGTTTTCTTTTAGTTACTAAACACCACTTTTTTGTTGTTTTTTATTCAAAGATACTTCATGTTACAGTTAACATCAGCTGAACAACCGTTATTAGAAGCCATTAAGTAACTGTCATTGTCACATTCTACCCTAATATGGAGTTATGGTTGTTAAGACTACTAAAGTTGGGCTATCTGGAGTTTTTAGTAAATGTACGTTCTTAGTTTAAACGCAACTACAGTAATCAATGCATTAAAATTCAACTAGCTAGTAATCTAACTCAACTTCTTAGCTGCAGATATGAATGTTTGTTATCCGAGAATTCATCTAACAATTGAAAGGACTTATACACCTCAGTTTTTGATAGTTGGTTGATGTAGATTTCTGGTGAAAGATGTATTTTATAATTGTTTCTACGGATTACTTTTGATTTAAGTATATGTTATTGTTATCATAACATGTTTTAAGTGTTCAATTTTACTTTCAATTTTCTTCCCAGTCCCGTTCATTGAATAAAAATCTTGCTGGTGTTACAAATATGATTCATCTGTCTACCTACGCTCCTTTCCAACCAAGCCATCGGTTATCTTCTGGTTTAGTAACACAATCACAAAGAAGTATGATAAACCGTAAAATAGATTGGAATTCGACCTCACCGCATCAGGAACCACATTGGGAAGTGATTGAACGAATTCTATATGTATATTATAAAACTCATGTATCTCAGGGTTATGTTCAAGGAATGAATGAAATTATTGCACCGATATACTACGTTTTCGCCACTGACCCCGATGAATCCTGGAGAAGCAAGTTTATTCTCTGTATTTATATATTTGAGGAAGATTGTTGTTAGAAGTTAGGGGCAGGGTACGTGGTAGTGAGGGCGAATCGGTTGATGATGTAGTAAATCTCCATCGACCAAAGTAGTCGAGGTGTATGGTACGAATTACCAAGCATTTCCTACCTCGACGTGTGATGTTGAATGATATAGAATTAGGCTGTGACAAAGCTAAGATTAGTCAGTCCAAAACTTCGTATAAATCGTTAAGCCATCAACAGTGAGACTGAATCATGTTTGTGGGTGCAAAATACCTGGTCGATGTCGATTAGATTATCGTGTCCAATCGTTACAGATGTGATATAACATGGCTCAGAATCACTGTCATTTGTGCAGATGCATCCATTCTCTATCTTCTCTCAGATTTTGAGTCTCTCAATTGACTACATGTTTTTGTTTCAGTACCATATATTTTCTCCTCAAATCATATATTGTATGCCTAATATTTTGTTACTACTTCTGATAATGTAAGTATTTGTACTACTGTTGTGTTTGTCATAACAGTTTCATCTCTATGATGATGTGGTGCGTCTATTTCAGCCGAAGTACATGTTGTCAACCTGTAAAGTCATTCAGATATCTTTTGTGTACTTATTTGTGGCACTGGGATTAGTAATTATTTCGAGATTAATCTTCATCAAAATCTTAAAATAATATATTAGTGCATCTGGTCATTTTGCGTGTATTGGATTATCAGTCATATGAACAGTTGGAATATAATTTGTCTCAAGTCATAAACACCCTAGTTTTTGAAAAAAGATTTGTATAAAAAAGATCTCTAAATTTATGTAGGACCGAAATTTTTTTGATCTTTCAGCTTATCTTGTAACAAAGCAATGAAGTCTTAACTAACTAAATCACACTTTTAATTTAGATCTAGTTTATTCAATAGTAAGCATTAGGGGATAATACTTTCTGTTAGTGATTAGTTTGTAGTCATCTGAGGAGTAAAGATACGTCTCTACTGACATTTTTTGTAAATTATAAACTAGTCTGTCGAAAAATACATTGATAAATTATACTTCTGATTTTTTCAATTTCTATTCTTGATGTATCGAAATTCTGTTTAATTTTATTACCTTAACTCTTTTCACACAGAATATGCAGAAATGGATACATTTTATTGCTTCAATAACCTTATGACTGAAATTCATCCTAATTTTCTACGAAAGTTAGATGGTAGCCATGAAGCTGGTCTAGGTGAGCATTTATGGTTTTTGATTCGTTTCTCCTTCATAAAAGCACCCGATTCAATGTGTTGATTATTTAAAAAGAATAACTGGTATTTTAGCCAATATTTCCTCTCATCATACATCATTATTATAATCTTGTGGGTCAGTCACATATCTGCACTGACTAAATATGTACTGTATGAAATTACATTGGGTTTAGTCACTGTATATCAAAATAATTAGTTACGTAGTTTACCTCAAAAGAGTAGGTCAGATGAAATAGATAACCATTGAACTAATTTAACATAAAATCTCTATATCATTTTATATACCATTTAGTTGAGTTACACATTTATCATACATGTAATGAACAACCAATATGTTACTCGAGTTATTCTCGATTCCTGAGTATGTTACAGCTAAAATCATATCAGAATTATGGTAAGTTTTTACTTCGAAGAAAATTCTGTAAGAGTAATGCCCCTTATTAAGTTAAAACACTGGTTTATTGGGAAACGCATGTCGAGTAATAATGTTGATTAAAGTTTCGCTATTTACCCATGTCTATTAATGCTTTGTTTTAGGTTAACTGATAAAACACAAGGTAATACCCGTTGCATTTAGTTATCGGCTCAAATAACAACTCTGTACAGTGACATGTGAAAAAGGATTCGACATGATTATTAACAAAGGAGTATTATATCGAAATGAGTAGAAAACCAGGTAAAGCACGTGAAAAGAAGCGGTATGTATGGTATTTTCAGTCTTAATTTTCGAGATTTAGCCACGGATCAAAAGAAGGTTACGTCTACTTTATTGCTGATAGTTTTTAATTACATTCCACTTGCTACCAACTGTAGATTTCATCATAGATCTTTATGCATGCCTCATTACAACAGAGAAAAGTTATGTGATGGTTGTAATGAATTGTTGATACCAAACGATACCTTATACAACAGTAAAGCGTATTTAACGATAATAACAAAAGCAACATATTGTCAGATAGGTTATGTATTAATTTATCGAATTTTTACATATTATTTCATTATGTTTTCTATTCCTCAGTATGTATGGTAATAATATATTGTTACTTTTTTAATTCTAAAACTTAATTTGTTTTGTTGTTTACTTGCTCAATTTTTCTCAGGTGGGCAAATGAAAATTTTATCGGACTTATTATCTAAATTCGACAATAATCTATCTAAACACTTTGAAAAAATAGAACTTGTTCCGGAACATTTTGCATTTCGTTGGTTAAGCTTATTGTTGGCACGAGAATTCATGCTTCCAGGTTTGTAATTCTGTTGTGCTATTGTTAGTAATATCATTAATTTTCTTATACAAAGCACTTGAAACTCGTGAGTTCGACGTCTTATAAAGTTTTATAAATGGCTTCACCCACTTTTAGGATTTTAGGTTCGCCGTAGATTGACACTGTGATATAAGTATATTCAATTAAAGCAGTAAATATCTTATATTCACAACTGCTAATGAAATAACGGAGAGGGTTGTATTGTGGTAGTTGGAACGCATTTGTGCCTGTTAAATACATGAATAGATAGAAAATATGATTGCTAACCTCCAGAACCCTAAATCTCAATAAACCACAGAATATCTGAAAACAAAAACCTGACCGTTGACTACAAAGAATTGATATTCGGGTAAATATCATACTTTCTAAATATTTCCAAGGAATATAAAATTACAATGAATAAGCTAAGGTGTTAGTTGTTTGTATGTGTATGGAGATCTAATGTGAAGAAATTCAAATCAGATAATTTAATAGATGATATGAATCAAACATGTCACATCATACATAAAATGAAGGTAAATAAAAAAAACTTTTGTGTTATTATTTAACCAAACTGATTGTTTACCGTATTTTCAGATAAACCAACTGACTAGAACAAGTGAAAGTAATCATTGTTCTTCACAAAAATAAGAGATGGATTAAATGAAAGAAAATGTTAGAGGGAGTTTTGGTTTACTTGTTAATTATTAGTCAACATGGGACAGTTGTATACCAGTTGTATACCATCTCTCCACATAATATTGTTTGGATTTACTGATCTGTGTAGGGCTTCAGTTGTTAATCTTATTTTGTATGAAGTAAATCTTTTTGGAGGAATCTTGTGCCATTGGAATCAATTGTATGCTCAGAGTCTATTGAATGTAATGCTATCGCTGATTTGTTTTCTAGTTTTCTCATGTCTTAGGATTTGGGAATGTGCTTCAGAGAAATTTTATGTCTCTTCACTCTTACATTCAGCTGCCGTTATTTCTCACCTACATGTATATCATCACATTCACTACATTATATGCTATATACACAGTTTTATCGTTCCTCCTTTGGTGTTGATTTTTTGGCTCTTATTAATTTAGAGTTTATGGTATTGGTTGTTCGGAAAAATACCCTTATATTATGATGATTTAAAATCCTGAAATTCCTTTGCGACATGAGATCACTACTACGTTAACACATTCCTTTGGTTTATCTTTTGTCTTTTAGATTTTCTTCCTCACTTATTCTTTCTACAAAGTCTCTAGGATAATTATTCATTATCAAAGTGAATATAACTAAATTCATTTCAGTTCAATCGTTAAGATTTTCATAAATATGACTTTTCTCTCTTAATGTCTTATATTACATTAACTCATTGTCCAACTACTGTAAAACCACCCGTTCAAATTTAGACGAACTTTCTTATAGATCAAAGTAACCATTTTGTTTTTGAAATATGCAGTCGTTTCTTTCTCGTATGATCAGAATAATGTTGATTACATTGTTATATTACGGACCCAGCTAAAAGTTACAAATTTTTCAATCTTGTTTACTTATTGTCTTTTGAGTTTCTATCTAATTATAATTAATTTAGATTTTCTTTAAAACTAGTAAGCAAATGTCTAATATATTCAACAAATATGTTATGTATATTATTTAACATCTTTATATGTATATTGTTAACTGTACTTCCAGGTGAATGTTATTTACATTATTTAACTTCTTTTCGTGTATGTTTTGTTTTCAAACGTAACTGTTAAAATATTCTACAAGTTAGTTTCCATTTTAAGTAAGGAACTTAACTTGCTCCTTTTTAATTCTTATTACATTGGAGTAGTGTACTGTATACGGATATGCTATTGATAATCTAAATAACATTGGAAAATTTGATGTAAATTACGACCATTAAAACAAAAATCAATTTATTAACTCATTCAGTGCACTCAATTAAGTGAATATGAACAAAACAGAACTACTGTTCAAAAAATTATTATTTTTGTGGTAAAAATGGTTAACACAATTAAACATTGAGATGGTGGAGAAGATTTGTAGCTCAGATGGATGATTTTGGTGCTGATGATGTCGTTCAGAAGAACGATGAAAGCACCACGACCAAACCATCCAGCTCAGAGAACAAAACTCCACCAAAACAATTAAACATAATTAAAATGTATTTAAACGCATAGAAAATTGTAAGATATCTGAGTTTTGTCTGGGTTATTTACCAGATAATAAAATTGAAATCTTCCTGTTATACCGAATCTTTATTTTAACCAGAGACATCACTTTTAATTTCAATAAATGAAAATTTTAAAAAAAATGTCTTGTACAATTTTCAAACTAATAAATTGTTTGTTCAAAGGTGTGTTACCGTTACATTTAGTTTATATTGGCACGAAAAAAAATTAAGAGAATTTGGAATTACATTCTTAGAAATTATATTATTGTAAATATTTAAGCGAAATTTATTATGTAAACTCTTTATCTCTTATAACGATGCAACTGCATTTATGAGAATATTTTCATTTCACTAAATTATACTGTATGCGTTTTCATCATTAAAAGAAATAACACAGAAATTGACCATAACTACGTAATTTAATGATTTGTGGTTGTTTGTGTTGTTAACTTTTGATTTATTTTATGCTTGAGAAAATTCAATCGTGTACAAATTATTGATTAGAAATGAATGAATGAATGGAATTGTTCAAACTAATGTTCATTCATTTTCAGTTTTGTTACATTCATATATAAAACTGAAACTCATATTTTGAGCATATATATACCATTTAAAGAAAAAGGCGAATTACTTTTTATGAAATAGTATATTATGTTAACACGTTTTATATCGTCAACTCTCTTAAATATTAGTGAAACTGTTAGGAAGAAGGTGAACAACACTTAATTACATTTTTAAGTTCAGTCTCTAGCGTATTTCAACTGGGAGATTGGAGTTGATTAAAACGAATACCATTTTGCATGTATCTAAACCATAAGTTCATTAGTCATTATATTTTGCTCGTAAGTGAAGATACAAGTTATTAGATGTAAGTGTAGATAACACAACTGAAGATATTTTATTCCCATGTTCATCCACTAACTGAAATAATAGTTCACATCCATACATCTTTTATATAGAATAAATGAAGTGTGGCCAGCATTAAAATCTGGGACTCATGTTCTGTCGTATTTGAGACACGTCGTCTGGATATACATGCATCCCAGAGTTGATTTCCACTCCTGGACTCGAACCCAATACTGGTGGCTCCAGTCGCCAACGCGTTACGCATTTAATTATTGAGTCCAGAGAGCTGTTAGCTTGCGTCCCTGGTTTCACTCCTAGTCACATTTCATCTACTTTACATAAACGTCATAAAAACTACATCGAGGTAATCCGCCCACGATGCACATATGTCAATCAAGACTGATCAAATTTCAGTCAATATCGAGATAATCCAAGTCAGTACAAATTAATTTAAAATGCACACATCCTCTTGATATCTGATACAAATACATAATGTTTTTTGAAGTGATGTTTTGGTGTTTTCTATCAAGCACATTCTGATCACCCTACTTATTGTTCATAATTAACACCAATTCTGATCTTTTCATATATATGAAATTGGTTGCAATTACAGTTCAGTATTCTACTTGTATTTATCTATTGTATTACAGATGTACTTCTATTATGGGATACACTTTTCTCAGATCCACACAGGTTCAACTTACTTCCATATGTTTGCTGTTCAATGTTAATGTAAGCTATTTTTATCTATAATTTTGTTGAATTATTTTTCACTTTAGTAAATAATGTTCATTTCAAATTGTTAATAGTATTTGGTTAACAAATATATCTTCAATTTGACTTATCTACTTATAATTTAGTTTATTCAGATTACAATCTAATAAAAGTGTATTAAACTTCATAGTAATGCATACCTCATTAATATACAAAGAGTAATAGATCTTTGTTAACTAAAATATTTAGTCCATTGTATGACCTACTTACTAGTTACAATTCATATAAAAAATTGTTCTGAGTCATTTCATTGACTGTTGTTGACTAATTTTAAAAATTATCTAGAAAAATTGCATTTTAATAATTTACAATCTTACATAATTTACATTTGTTGATTAATCCGTTTTAATAGTATTTTATTTTATTTTTCTCAACCAACAATTACTTGATAAAGCAGTTGATCAACAACATTATTGTAATCTATTTGTTTCCTTGAAGTTAAACCGTTTTGTTCAAATATTTTGAGTATATTATTGAGAATTTTCCAGTTTATTTTATATATCTTTGAAATATGACGGTTTATCAAACATGAAACTTCATCTTTTAATTGACATGGTGTCTATACAACTGAGTAAATATAAAATTTCATAGGATTTTAATGGACTGATGGATGGAGGCTTTGATGACAACATAATTAGTTTACACACTTATAAAGATTAAATAGTTTTACTGCATTAATCAGACATTAACTATTAACCAATGTTATGTTTTACGGTGCCCAGAGTACTAAGAATTAGACAACATGTCATATGTTTCTATTCATTTCTTCAGGAAGTTAGTAACAACATCAATAGATCAGTTACATAGACGACTCCAGTACTAGGCGATGCTTCCTTGAATCCTCGGGTCAACCATTAATTATATTTAAAAGATAGAGAAACGTTTTGGTGATGATTATTACAATATATAGACAAAAGCTTACCCCCAATAACTTCCAATAACACAACATTAAATATTCTGTCAGTAAATACCCTGTCGATTGTCAACTAAGAATCGATACGTTTATCAATAAATGAGTGATTCCATGTTTTATTAATTAATTAAAAGTGAACATTTAATCATTAAACTAGTTAGCTTGAGTATGACTTTGTTTTCCTGTGCTTACTACTCTCAAGGGGTCGATTCATATGCATCATCATCCTTAAATGATTTAGTTTCACAATCTAATTATTCTATAGTTTTAACGAGTATTCTTATTTCTTCTTCCAAATCGACTGCTTTTTGTTTGTTTGTTACGTCAGTTATTTCAGATTTCTATAACAATTATTATTTGTTTATCTATTTGAACACGTAAATATTGGTACAAGAGTGCGCCAAATATATATGCGCCACACAAAACAATGAGAATTTAAAGAGAAGGAAACAGAAAACAGGTAAGGAGGATTAAAAAAAAGAACAATAAGGAAGAGATTGGTGTAAGGTAGTGTAATAATAATAGTGGTAATAATGGGGGAACGGAAAGATACAATCAGAAGAAATCTTTCAGTTAAGAAAGATACAACCACTTTTTACGAAGAAAGTAAAAGAAGGTTACAGCAGGAATCGCCACTGGATTTTATTCTGAGCCATATCTGATAACGTCTCTAGTCATTGTGTAGCACCATCTCTCGGACCCCAGCCAGGGAGTCGTGAAGGACCGGCAGAAGCCAGTCCTTTGCAGCTTCCTTTCATGCCACGACACCATATCATATACTGACCACCTCTCCGCATTTTCCAACCAGTCCCAGAGTCGGCAAATAATGCACGACGTGGAATTCTCTAGGACGACATTCGTAGAACATGTCCAAGCCACCAAAGTCGGTGTTTCAAGATGGTGACACCGATTGCATTATCGTCTCTGTGCCCGAACACACGATGCCGAATCTCTGTATTACTAACATGGTGTTGCCACTGGATGTCAGCGATTCTTCGGAGACAACGATGATCGAACACAGAGTCGTCCAACATCCTCAACTCGAAGAAGCATAGAGCAAAATTGCTCTCACCGCCGCGTTGTAGATCCGACCTTTTACAGCCAGACTACCATCACGAAGGCGCCAAAGATGGCCCAGATTGGCATAAGCCACTCTGGCTTTCACTATACGTGCATTGATCTCATCACTCACACCCCAACCAGCACTTATGCAGCTACCCAGATACACGAACTTCTCGACTACGTCTATCTGCTCACCATCCAGGGTGAGTACAGGATTGGAATCCTGCCAGTCTTGTAGAAGTACTTTGCACTTCGAAGGTGCAAAGCACATACCATACGTACGGACACTGATTGCCAACTGATTAAGTGCGGATTGCATGCCTTGGGCATTATCGCACAGTAAGACAATATCATCCGCATACTCAACATCGAGAAGTCTTTCTCCAGGCAACAGATCCACACATCCATTACTTGCATCCATCAGAGCTGTTTCCAGAATGTCATCGATGGCGAAGTTGAAGAGGAATGGTGAGATTGGGTAACCCTGCCTAACCCCACTGCTCGAATGGAACAATGGAGAGAGGTGGTTGTATGCCCTCACTCTGCCTGAGGTGTTTTTATATAGGGCTTTTAGGATGTTAATAAACTTTTCAGGCACACCCTTCTTCAATAGACAATCCCAGAGAACAGTCCTGTCCAGCGAATCGAAGACAGCCCTGATGTCAAGAAACACTACGATTGTTGGTCTTCGATAAGTATGGCGATGTTCTAACATTTGGCGGAGGGTGAAGATATGATCAATACATCCTCGACCAGAACGAAACCCAGCCTGCTCCTCACGAGTCAATCTTTCTCGGGTTTTGAACAACCTACGAAGTATGACGGAAGCCAATAGCTTGGACTCAATCGGAAGTAGACTTATCCCCCAATAGTTGTTACAGAAACGACATGAACCCTTTTTAAAGATAGGGACAACTATCAACTCATTTCAAATCAATTGCTTCTTATTTGTTTGTTACGTCAACTATTGCACATTTCTATAAAAATTACCTTCATCAGAGCTTTATTGGTTTTCATCCCATTTAAAAATGCTTCTGGTCACTATTATTTACATTTGTACTTTTTAAAAAAAAACCTACATTTAAATCATTTGTGATATGAACTTATTGTTTAGATTATAGTCAAATCATTAATGAGATACAAATTCATATAAATGACTTCAATTTATACCGTAAGTATGAAAGGTAGTAATACTATCCGACTGACCGTACTGAAGCAGATATATTAGGGTTTAAATCTGAGTCTTACTGATTAAAAGTCGAATACCGTTACCGCTGAGCCACAGCTTTATAACAATTCAACCCTTTGTATAAATTTGATGTTAACGCTAATTTACATCACGGTCAAGTTGTTATTTTTATTTCTTTATGAAATGAAATGAAATATCTTTAATTTAAAGCAATAAAAAAATAAATAGTGATCAATGCACTGATGGAGTCAAAATTAATGGTTATATAAGGACAAAACAATGAAATGGTTGATTTTTCCATCTCGTAGATTTTCAATTTTCTCTACGTTGTTATTTATAATTATTGTTTTTATTGTTTCCGTTTTGGCAATTTTTTCTTTTTCTTACAAGTGGTATTCGTGATCAACTATTGAAAGCTGATTTTCCTACGGCTGTTCAACTTGTTCAAGTAAATAATTTTTATAATAAAATATATATATATATATATATATATATATATATATATATATATATATATATGCTAGAAAAAAACTTTATTTCAGATATCATGAAAGTGTTTTTGATATTAATAAGTAGCATAATTTAATAAGCGGTTTTTTTATTCGGTTTAACAAAAACGTAATACCAGGATGGGTTTTGTGGGGATTTTTAGAAATTTCACTGGTTGAAATCATGAGTCAATTGAAGCGGGATCGTGGATGCGCACTGCTGAGGAGTCCCATACTAGGACAAAACGACCATCCAGTGCTTGCAGGTTTTCCATGGTGGTCTAGCTTCAATTGACTCATGATTTCAACCAGTAAAAAACGTAATAGTAAATAAATGTATGATTAGAGAACTTATCTTGAAAAATTACTTGTTAAATTAGTTACTTGGTAACTCGAGTCATAAATGAATTTATTAGTCTTTTTAGTTAACTACAACTTTGTATTTTAGGTTCTCAGACGCTATTATCGACTGATAGTTAACAAGCTGTTCAAACTTATAAACTTATGTGTTTTAACTGCTTATTAGTTGTGTAATTAATTATCATAATAACAAATGTTAAGTGGTAAATTATAAGGCTACGACAAAATAGCTGTCCATTACTTGCTGGTTTTCATTAGTTGTATAATTAAGATCAGTATGACATTCAAAAACTCTATAAACTCTGTATGGTAAATGATGCTTATTTTAAAAAATCAAGAATAATTTATCTAAAAACGTTGAAAGTCTTCTTTAAAATTGTTAGCTGGTTTTAAACATCAGTTATCGTTTAGTTATCTAAGTTATCCAAGAAAGTGAATTGTTACTGTTAGAATAACATTTCTGAAGAGATAATTCATTATCAGATTAGTTTGATCTGTTCATTAGATCGCCTATGCTGTTCTTTCAACTCACGTATGGTATTATTGGTGAAAGGAATCTAAATCATTTTTCCAGGCTTAAACTAATTTACTCTAGTTATAATTCTCATCATCTAATGTCTGTTTTTATTTCAATTAATATCAGAATTTAACTAGTTGGAATGGAAGATCAGTATTTTTTTAAAAGTTAATTAGTTACTGAGGCACTACCTCAAAATCTTAGGTTCAGTACCTAATGAAGTTATTGATTCGCACGAGAGATAAATAGTCGTATACTATGATCAAATAGCTGTCCGGTAATGTTTTTTGGTTTAAAATGCTGATCTAGCTGAAGTCAGCACATTGTCCTAATTCATTCATTACCATATGGATTAAGTATGCATTTATCCGTCTTTGTCATCAGTATTTTGAAGCGTTTTCACTTATTTCAGAGGACATTTTCAATAGCTAAACTATTGGGTTTTCAGTTTCTCGGTCGTTAAATTAGGCCAATAATTATTAGATTATATGTGTTTAAGAAGAATGATAAACTATTATTGAACATATATAACCTAGATGTTAAATCACATTTAAGTTTACTTTAACAGTATTTTAAACGAAATGTCATTTAAATATTTTCATTTAATGCATTTTTTTTTGTATCATTTACACTAAGAATTATCCATCAAATGTCGATATAATGCATATTCTTTTGAAAGCCAGAACGTTTTATACAGGTCACCGGATTTAAATACTTTTCTTTCTAACTGTCAAATGATTTTTGTTATTACCACCTATTCTGAACAAGAAATAAACGTGTAAATGTGCTTTTTTTTAATAAAAAAAATGTATGTACATGTCCGCATATGTTCGTACCTATCTATCCACGAGTTCTTCTCTCTCTCTCTCTCTCCCATGTACTAATTTCAAATATTTCTTCTTTATTTCTAATGAACATTAGTTATTTGGTGATTTATTACATAACAACTTTACGATCATTTTTATAATGAAAATTACTATTATTGTTATCATTTATTTCATATCAAATTTGTAATATGATTTATAATTAAATGACTTATATTTTATTTGTCTCTTTTCTCCCCTTCATATTATTTCTTAATAAAGTGTGAATATGATTGAATTGTATTATTGACATTGTTGTATTCTATTCGGTTATTGTATCTTCATGGTAATGTACTCATGATTTTTTCTCTTTATTTCTATTTGATTATTAAACTTTAAATGATTGTTTGAATATTGCGATAAATTGTTCAAGACAGTTATTATTATTATTATTATTATTTTTGTTTCTGATTTTCTATTTTGACAATGAATATTATTATTATTATTTTTGATTTAAAAACAATGAATTAAATCCTCATTTTGTAACAATATTGTTTAAATATATATGTGTGATTTCAAAGAGAATGATTTATATTGTATATTTATGCGAAGTGTTTATTTGCTTTATCAAATATTATTTGTACACTTAGCCCCCAAATGTTCTGGTACGGCTGAGAGTAGGGAGAGTCCACTCGCCCTCTCGAAATGGTCTCACACGGCTGCGCGTATATAGCCTCTTTCAAGGAAGTCCTACTCACTGCCTTCTCATGGCGGGGGTGTTGTTTACGGAATTGAGAAGACGAGAAGCGAATATCCGGCGCTTTGACTGAATCGGTGGACATGGAGAGTCCACCTAGGGGAGTTGGAAAACCCTGATTCCAAACTAATGGTGAATATGGGCTCCAGTATCCTGAGGGAACGAATGGCGTATGAACCAATTATTGGTTACCGACTACCATTAGATTGCATCTCCTTACGTTGCTTCACTGCCTTGTGGATCAGACCTTTAGGTCAAAGGCTCTGGGTGTGGCCCCTATAGAAAACCATCTGCTTTGGTTTGGGCACCCGGGCAATATCACAGCCTTCATACAAATCAAGTGACTTGTGTGGCGCATGTGTATTCGGTGCCCCTTTGTACCAATATCTATGTGTTCAAATAAATAAATGTACACTTATGTCAGTTAAGATATTCTTTGAACTATAATCAAACACTGTAAATAAGAAATGATTTAGTGATTGAATCAATAAACATTCGACTATTGAATCTTAGTCGAAATACTTTTATCCGAATAGCTGCGTAGTTTCATTTACACTAAAATGGAAAAGTTTGACTGAAAGCCGTGTACACTTACTTTCACTCGGAAATTAATTTTAGTTGTTTTCTTTAGCTGTCAATTTGGACATGATAGTGGGAACTAAAGAGTTACAAATTTTTATTAATTTTAAGTGCTGTTAAATATTTCACATAGTATGAATATTGAGGTTTTCAAATATTTATCATTAACTAGACTTTAGTCTTGGAATATTCCACTATTCTACTCTAGGAATGTAATGTGGTAAATCTTTTGTAAAGTTTTCTCCTACTTTAAGTAGTATGAAAAGTACTGTAAAATTTATGTGCTGCATCCAACGAACAGACATGAATCTAGGACTCAGTACGATACCCAGAATTTACAATGCTTTTCGACCACCTTTTATTCATCTGAAATAGGAAACCAATGAATCATCATATACACTGATTTACAGTTTCCTGGCTATGAAATAGAAATTTACTCTTGATCAACATAGGGCTGATTGAGCGAATATTTACTTATATTCTCTACTCAAACTTTTTCATCTTAAGATAGTTGTTTGACGTGACATTGGAGCCTAGTCGTCATACATTTCCACAGTTCTTAATATACGTATTGTTGTACCAGCTACATTCTTTACTAACTGTATGGGGTGGTTAAAAAAATTGATTTACTATCAATTCAGTCAAATCTCAACTTTGGTCATTTGTCTAACGAAATTGTCCATTCTATTACGCTGATCATTAAATGTAGGAACTCTAAATTGCTATCATCACAGTGTGGTTTTTTTCACTGTGAACGTTATTTAATGTTGTTTCTCAGATTGTCATTTTAAAGTAATCAATGTATAATGAAATTGTTAGTAGAGCAACTAACATGTTCTAGTAGAATACAAGCCAAATTTGGATTTCGTATGCAATAAGAAAATGTTTTAATCCCAGTTGTTACGCTGACTTTGAAACTCGGCTCGTATTTGTCTGGTCGAGATATCACTTAGGATATTTGTATTGCAGATCACACAATATGTAAATTGTTAGGGGAGTTATTCAGTTTACAACTTTGATTTGAAGTTCTTATAGTTAATTTATACAATTGTTTGTTAAATTGTTGTTAGAGCAAAGCGTTTCTAACGAATACCGATAATTGTTTACAATTGGTTATGCTTATGGAATTGAGTAGATCAAGAGATGCGAAATAAAGCTATATTATTTTGTTTCAGTTGTCTTTCGTTTTTCACTCATAAGTATAATCTGTAGTAGCGATGTCTCACAGTTTGAATGAAGGTTTATGAAAAGTCAAATTTGAAAATAATGCACTTTTTACAACGTATCGCCGGTATAGTCGAAAACTAATAATCACAGGGTGGAAATATGAAACTTAGAACACTTATTGAGAGGTTGGATGTATCCAGCCTCATTCATTTCCCATTTATTATTTTCTGTCATTCGGTCTGAAGAATAATTATCAATCCAGTCTACTGTTTTTATGTTCTTCGGGTAAATTATATTTTATAACGGACCATTCGACAGGAATTTCCTTACCTAAGCACTTGTGTTTGAGACGGATGGATTATTTGTCATCTTAATCGGTTACGTCGCGATGTTCGCTTAAGTTGTATGCAATTACATTCATTATAGTTATTGCTGTAGAAATAAAATTCGCAAATGGTCGATATATAATTAAGGGATTACCTCATGAAATTGAGGAACGTAGACAATACAGTTTCGTGAAAATACAAGTATAATACAGTCCAATCAAAATTTGGGTCCCATTTGATTAACGTTCAATGCAAATCCTTATTCATCACGAAAATATTAAATATTAGTTAAATGGTTGATGACGTCACAGTTTAATATCCTGTTTCTGTCTTTCTAAATTATTCAGTATAAAAAGCAGGTAATATATTTAACTGTCTTTTGTGTATCGTGGAATATTACTGGTGATAAACTCACGATATTTACTTATAGGAATGGGAACTTTCATTGGTTGAGATATTCGGGACAAGTGGTTAGCTTCAGAACTAGTTTGAAGAATATTAAACATGATCATACTATATCATTGCATTTGTATATAATTTTACTTACTACTGATGTAAAGGATTTAAGGAGCCACAGATCTCTTAATCTTAGTGTAAGTTTAGAGAATTTGCAGACTATGGTTCTGAATTAGTTGTATTGGCACAGCAACCTTAATTCATTTTCTCTGTGTAACCCCCCCTAATCATCATATCCTGTACCTTTCATTGCCCCTCTTATCAATTTCTTTTGAATTATCATTTCTGTTCTCTACTAATTTTTGTAATATTCTCACTGTTATTCCTTCGTTTTCCTTTTTGTTAACTTTCTCTAATTGTACTTATGTGAAATATGATAGTGATAGCATACAGTGAAGTATATTTGTATGAGCAAGATTTTTATTCACTATTTAAGGTGTACCAGTTTGAAAATTAATCAATAAATTACATAAGGACATCTGTTAGACTTTATTTTCTTGCTCTAGTTTTGTTTAACTATTTTAAAGGTCTAATAAAAGTAAAACACTTTCATGGGTGTGGTACATTAAATTTACTTTCTGAATAAATGTACAGTATAAAATAATGTTTGACTGATTTTATGGGTCTATGTTATAAGGTCATTAAAATAGAGTAAAAAGAATTACAAAGGGAAATAATATTATAGGCTTTGGAACTTCGAATTAGATATTTCTTTGATAATATCTTGATATATTGTCCAGTGATAGAATTCTTTCAGTTGCAGTAAGGATGAATTAAAATTAACTGGAGCATACTTAGTCGGATTCATGTAAATAGAATATGAATTATACCAGAAATACTTTATTCACACAGTAATCAAAACTTTAAACAGATAACTTCATTCCATGTTTATAGATTAACAGCTTTCTGTGACTGGACACTAATTTAGAATGGTCGAAATAATTCTTTCAGCTAGTGACAACTCAGGAATTCTCATGACGCTCCTAAATTTATGGCTAACATTAAACCGACTGTGAGTATTTTTGTACCCCTGAGTTTAAATTTTGATGGTATAACCATAAATGTTAGGGAAACATTGATTAATTTAGTGTGATTGAAATATGTGCTCAATATGTCGATAGCCATACTTTTTCCCCATTAAAATTATTATTTAATTGGTTGTAAATAATTTCCATGTGAGATCTGATTAGTTGAATTCCATGGAAAGCAGTCACATTTGATTGGATGTAGATTTATATGAAATTTATGATTTGAAAATTTTCTGTGACTCGATAGCAAATTTAAGGGACTTACTTACGTCTGTTACCGTTCATAGAAGAGCATAGACCGCCCACCAGCATTCTCCATCCAACTCTATTCTGGGAAATCTTTTCCAATTGCTATTCATCCTTTTCATGTCTGCTTCCTGAAATATTATAGTCTAACTATGTACTTCATTTAGCCACTTTGACATGGTATTTTCAGTCATCATTTATTTCTACAAACGTTACCGTTTAACTACTAAGATTCCTTACGGATTAAAATTCAAAAAGTTAGTATTATTAGAGTTATAAAGTCATTTAGGCTATATTTATAGACCATTCTCTTTCTTCCTATTAAGGTTGTAGTTAGTAAGTTCACAGTTAACTTTATTTACTCTAATGTTGAATAAAGTATGTCAATGACACTGTAAATATTAAATAAAAATATCTAACTCATTAAAAGATATTTATGGGCGTATACAGTGTTATTGTCATCAATGTACAAACGAATAGGAAGTTTTATGCGTATGTTCAAGAATACAATAGTTATCTTCATGTCCATCAATAATTTGGCGGCAACACTTTCTGTTCAAACCACTATATGAAATTTTTTAATAAATCTTTCAAGTGTTTTGAACTAAATCAGTGCTAAGCGTCCACGAACCTAACTCGAAAAAGATGATAACTTCAAAGCCGTGCCTATTTTGTACATTTTATCATAATATGTATTGTTTATTAACAGTGAACTTAGATTGTACATCATCCGAATGACATTAAAAAACCATTGATTAAATTTCATATTGGAAGTCAAGTGTAATGTTAAAAAATCTTCTCATGGTAACGTACCCTTTATAGATCATTGTAACACCCATTTTTCCGTAGCAATAATGATAACTATCAGTTAAATAGTACGTAAACATAATTTTATGTTAAATTCTAATCTTAAAATTACGGAGTAATGTGAACAAATTTACACACCAAATTCCAAATGAACAGCTAGTTATTTAACATTATCCAGTGACCTGAATTTTGAAGAGTAAACCTGGATTTAGG